CAAACATAAATAACTAGAGCTTTGGAATTTCAAGCCTGTGCATAGGACAAAAATTTCACGATACTTTACGAAAAAAAAAATGTTCACTGCCTTTTAGACTTATTCAGTCCTTTAGCTTTCCCTTCTATCTATTTTCGCCTTTAATAAGTTATCTCCCTTTTTTGCTTTTGATGGACATTTACTAAGCTGTATAGCTCTCAGTTCGGTAGGGAAGACTTTCGAGGACACTCCATTAAGGTCAAACGATTTCTATTTTGAAGCACGTTTAGATGGGCAGCGGAACAAGATTTTCACTGGAATTTTCACTGTAAGTTCGACGGTCGATTTAGACGTTGAATTAAATTCGTCGAACTCAATTCATTCTTACGCTGTAAAAACATGGTCTACAATGTTTAGCAGTGAAAAGAAATTATCGTCGTTTATGCATTAGGTTCGGCACTGGAAAAGTTCGACGTTTGAAACAAAGTCGCTCCACGGTCGAAATTCCCATGTGGGCCACTCGAAATTAATTCATCGCTCGACTCAAATTAGATATGTCGGACTTTTAGGTTTGGTACATGAGAAGTTGGACGTTTGAACTGGGCCTGAGTTCACTGGCATTATAAGAAATGTTTTTGACTAATCGGAACGCACGTAAATACTTCATTTTTTTATACACATACCTCCGTTATTAAACAACAACAAAAATATATCGCGTTCTAAAGGCGAGTTTAAAAATAATAGTTTGTGAACGACATGAAGAAAATTTAATAAGAAATCCAAAATAACGTTGTGAAGTTATCGTAATGTACTTTCGGTATGGTAGAATTCGTAATGGCGGGAATCCAAACGAGGTTTTGTGCAAAACCTGCCCTTCTTGTGGCGAAGAGTCGTTATCAGCTATACGATCCTCAACCGGGAGCAAAACATTATCAGAATGATTAATACCTGTAGTTTCACTACTTTCACGTGAACTATCAGCTAACGGATTGTTCACGATGTTTATCAGTCGTTCTTCGCCTGTGCTCGGGCCTCCTTCGGGAACACTCGCTGCGGAACGGCTGACCTCGGAAGCGCCGTCTGTTCCGTTAGCAGCGATATTTCTTTCGTTAGTATCTACAGACTGACTGTTAGCGTTCGATGCGATTTGATTTCCCCCTTCTTGTCTATTCTCTACAACAGATTCAAAAGATGGCGGTGAGCTTTGCACTTGGCTCATGGCTTCATCGTAGGACGGCAGAATGAAGTGCACGTCTCCGGTGTAAGCAGCAATTATCGCAATTCGGTCGTCGTCGTTATACGTCGGCTTCTAAACGCCGAGTGCTTAGTTTTGTTTGTTTGTTTGTTTGTTTGTATTTTTTTGTAAGTTTGTATGATTGTTTAATTTTTATTTGCCCTGTAAAATTGATAGCTTCATTAAGTTCTTTTGTTTTGTGACTTATTGATACTTCCTATTTACCCTATATATTTATACAACTCTTCCACAGCTTTCTTGTTAATTAAAGTTGGAAGTAAACACAAACAATCATTCAATACTTATATTTACCTTTGCGCTTATCGACAGAAAACCATTGTTAATCAACAACCCCGTAAACGAAAATTCGCCTAACTGGTTCCTCTACTGGCTAGCAAAGGACAGAATGAGATCGCTAGGTGACGTATCCACCCACTGGCGAGCCACCTGCAGTTATGACAAGTACGGCATCAATAACTACAAAGACTACATCCGTGGAAAAACTGCAGATCTTAACATCTTTGCCCACCTTAATGGTAAATGCATTCAGACCGAGCTTGTCAACGTCTGTGGTCACACTGGGATACACCAGACTGCGTGGTATTATCCCTCAAGTAGTTACCTTCCTCACTTCGAAAGTACTACAGGTGGATGCCAGTTTTCTGTTTCAGGTTTGAGCAGTGGAGACAACTTTGGCTTTTACGGCACTAAAAACCCTATGTTTACCTGCTCGAGGAATGCCGCATCTACCACGCAGTGGTGGTTTGGTGGCTACCACTTGCTAGCACACTGATCCTTTATCGCTAAAACTCTACAAAACGAGGGTATTAAAATGGTTTGCAGAGCAAATGAAAAATTTTACAAAGCAACTCACCTATTTCCACACATTACCTGAGAGAAATGTTTAGATTAATCCTCAAAGAAAATTCTTTCCAGTTCAGTGGAAAGGTCTTCATACAAACTCACGGTGGGCACAAACTAGGACAGCAACAGTTTCCCTTGCCGACTGGCATGAATTAAATAAGCAAAACTGTCTTCAAGCCAACTGTTTAGAAATGCTACATGGATGACATTTTTTCGTTGTGGGACATAAGTAAACCAGGGCAAGTACATTTTAATTACCCTGCCATTAAATTCACCACCGAAATTCACTGAGACAATGTTTTTAGACACAGTTGTATACAAAGGCACAAGATTCAACGAAAAAGTTATCCTTGATGTAAAGACACATTTTAAACAAACGGAAACCTTCCAGCACACACATTTCGCCACTTGTCACCCACTGATTTGTCAAAGGAGAAGCCTTTTAAGCCTTAAGGAACGTTTGAGGAAAGTATTTATCTTTAGACAAAGTATTTATCTTTGACAAAGTATTTGTCTTTAGTACCGTGGCAGGATTAGCTCAGTCGGTAGAGCGCTTGACTGCAGAGCGGGAGGTCGCGGGTTCGATTCCCGGGGCCGGAACAATACTCAGGGTCTTAAAAATAACTGAGAAATGAAGGTACTTCCTTTGCACTGCTGCAAGCGGCGAGACCTTCGCGTGGCTCGGATGACCACGTAAAATGGCGGTCCCGTCTCTATTAGGAGACGTAAAATATAGTGTCCCCAATTAGCACTTTTTCAACCAACGCAATTTGAAATAAAAATTGCTTTTAGAAATGCAATAAAACTCACAGAAACTGGAAGTTCACCTTCCTGAAACAAAACAGCAAGGAAGAAAAAGAAATGTTGCCTTTCGTGACACAATACCAGCCCTTACTGGTCTACTACAAAAGAAGCTTTCATGGACGAGTGGAACCTCTTACAAAGCCAACCACTACTTTTCCATTTTTTAAAGAACCACCTAATTTGAGTATTATTTCCTACAAGAAAAGAAAATTATGGCAAAGAACATGCTCGTTAGAGCAAAAATATTAAAGGTCAACAAACACACGCTTTCACAACAGTGTATATAGATGTGCAGGCTGTCACCCCCTGCAGTCCTTGCAGTTTTTCACCAAAAATATATATCCAATGTCCAATTAACCTCCCTTCATTTCTTTTTATAGTGCCCTGTAATCAACGGGAGAGCTAAGTTCGCGTTTGCAATAAAAGCGTTAGTGATTTTATCGGTACTATATTGGAAAATAAAGGTGATATAAATGATCAAATGATGCATCAGTTTTACACAAAATAATCAACATGCATTTTTTAATTATTTACTGAGATTTACCGACACAACCGACAAAGATCGAAAATTTTATCCGACTGCCGACAAAGTAACTGAATTTTAACCGACAACCGACAAGTGGACCACCCCTCCCCCCCCCACCACATTCAGACCCTAAATACAGTGAAATCTCTAGCGCTTTCCTGGCCTACCTTGAAGGCGCGATAAAATGACAGCTGTTCTACAGGCTTGTCTGCGTAGAAATAATTCTTGGTCGGTGAAAAAAGAGCCCTACGGTTGCTACTGTTCAGCGGTCACTAAAGGTGTTAGGAGAGTAAATGTCAGACAGAACTTTTTTGGTAAGGATCAATTGGCGAATACCCATTGATACTGCTGAAAATTGCGCCGTAAAAATTAGTAAACTTGCCAAGTTTGAAAGCGATACGTCTGAAGCATTTGAAGATGTAGCTCCGGAAAGTCGCGAATGAAGTTTTAAAGACGTTTGTTTGGTGGTGGCGGGGTAGAAGAGGGGAGCGGCGTGGGGAAAATCTGGTGCCCATTACCATTAAAACGTGTGTTAGATATTTTAAGACTTCTGCCCTTACTGACGTCTCATTGATGTTTCCTTGATCTCGTAGATTTGCAAGGTCTCGATCTTTGCCTCGTGGTGTCGCCTTTGATTGTGGAAGATTGCTTGAAATTACAGCATAATTGCCTAGACATCATTGGAAATTTCCACTATAGATTTATAAAGTGTAACGATTGAACTATAATCTTTGTCCAGTTTAACTTTAGTCTGGCTATTCTATGTACCATAAGGCAGTCAGAAGTTACTGTGTAACGTATGCCTAGTTGCACCTGGCTCCTTAAGAATTTATCTCCTCCTCATTTCTTATCTAATCTCCAAACAACCTCGAGTTAACACTTTAAGAGTGTCTTGTTTCTTATCTAATCTCCGAGCAAGCGAGACTTATAGATCCGCGTTCGTCTTTATTCTACAAGGATGACATCTGCACGAAAACGAGTCCAAAGGAGCCCAGTTTCCTGCGGCCCAGATGCCCCTGATAAAATTAATAGGGGCTGCTAACCGGCAGTAGCAAGTGATAGTTTGAAAATTTCTGCCTTTGTACCACACAAAAAAAACAGATTAGAATGCGTTCTGATGAACGCAACTAACTGATCGGAATGGGGACCCGGAATGGGGATCATAACTCACTAATGATCTGACTTTCAGTACTTTTTAGAAAGCAAAGCTTCAGTGTGTAATTAATTTTGGAAAACACACATCAGTGTTTTGCTTGGTCGTTTTCAATCAAGTAATTAAAATTTTTCATGTTGTTAAGATACCATTATTGTAATAAATCATTTTAATTAACTTGGCCACTCATCAGCTGAGAAAACAAGGTGAGATCGCAATTAAGTTTAAAAAAATGTTTTTTTGTGCCTTACTGCTGGATTTGTCAGATTCAATATTAATTTTTGGAGAACTGACATTGGATGGGAACTGCCATACCAGGTGTAAGCTGGAACACCAGGAATCTGACAAAACAAGTCTGAAGAAGTTACACATCAAATGAATTCAAGAATAACTGTTTTTTCTAGTTTAAATCAAGGCTGTTTACAACCTCCCTGGAGACCTCACTTGAAGTCTTCTCTCATCCACACCCATTTTCGAACACGGAACAACTTTGGTAGGTAGGGTTTTAGCTAAACATTTTGTTTATTTCCAAATTACTGAATTAAATACTTTGTACTGTTCGACATTCTCAGTAATTAACATGTATGTTTCGTTTTGTAGGTCGATCAGGTTAGAGTGGTTTATCGGTAAGTAGCAGAATATTCATATTTAAAGACGTTTTAAAGACGACCTCTTCAGCTTATGTTTAACTCTGTAGGGGCTTTGTTACGAACGGCCCCCGCTAAAATGGATAGCAGCTCAATGATCTGCAATAGACGCTCAGACTGCAATTGCAATCAATAAAACTCCGACTATTAAGAATTCTCGCAGCGTAGATCCCTTAATTGGGTTAAAATGAGCTCATGTAATCGTACAAACAGAATAAGAAATTGCGTCTACAAAGAAGGCGCCAAAGCGCTTGAATTACCCACTTTGGCGTTCAATCAAATTCTGAAAATTAGTCGGCAAATTGGCAGCTTAAATCATTCTTCATTACACCTTTCTTGAAGACCTTAAGGTCTTAAAATTTAGGCCGAGGCTCGTTTTACACGTAGCTCTGGTAACATGATTGCAGGTAAGTACTACAAGAATCAAAATTGATCTCCCATCCTATTAGTTGACGCATTACTTCGCGCGAGCGTGCACTTCCCTCATTAAATCTGACTTCAGAAAAAGAGAGACTGCTCGAAGTCTATTCCTACTTGAAAATGTTAGAGAAACAAATTAACCGTTATTTTTTTCCGTTTTAACAGATCCATCCGTGAACGGACAGTTTCAAGTGAATTATTCTCCTGAGTGGCTGTAAAATCATCATGAAGTTTTCCTTCGCTTGCCTTTTTCTTCTGATAGCTGCTCATGGTGCATGACAGGGAAAATCGGTAATACCTCAGCCTTTGCTTCTTGGGGTTAAATTAATTATTACATGTTCATGCAGGGAAGTGAAAAATGATTTGCATGGACATATTGAACATTCTTCTATGTTTGGCGCCTTCCTAAGCCTGATATGTGACCTGTACATGCGTATTCGATCTATTTTAATATAATTGGAATAAAATAATTTTTATTTATCTTTATCAATATTTATTTCATGCCATCTATTTGTATTTTTTAAGGCTAAAACTTTTGACGCCGATGTCAAACAAAAAATGAATCAAGCACAGGTTTCTGAACCTAAGGTAGGACATTTTGTATTAGCTAATTATCAAAGATACATGATATCAGAGCACCGGCCAACAAGTGAAGTAAGAATTAATGAATCATGAGGTAGATGGTTAGCTGAGATAAGAGTGTTGTGTCTCCTTCAAAACTTAAATTCTCATGCGGCAAAAAGACATAAAAAAGAAAGGGCTATTTAACTATAAGAAAATAATAATAATAAAAGTTATACGATACTATAACAAGATCACATCTTATTTTAAAATATTCACGAAAAAAAAAGCGGGACTGTACCAAGGAAACAAGGTCTGATAATTGAGGTTCGACAGACTGTAAAAGAAAATGAAATGATATGAAATGGCATGAAATAAAATAAGATGAAAAGTTGGGAGATGGATGGCCTAATACACCTGAACTTCGGTAAATAATTGTTGGCTATTGCTAGTTCTTCTAATTTTATTTATTGTCTTTATTACCATTATAATTTTAATTATTAAGGCTAAAACGTTTGACGTTGATGTTAAACAACAAATGGATCCGGCACAGGTCTCAAGCAATAAGGTAAGATATATTATTTATTGACTAATTTTAGCCAAAAAAAAAAAGACTTAAAGAGAACGAACAGATGAAGTGAAAATTCATGCAGCCCCAGTTCGAGTAGATGGATACTTAGCTGAAATAGGAGGGCCGCGCACCTCATTTTCTGCAGTAGGCGACTTACCTTCTGAGGCAGTAAACCGAAAAGAAATAAATAAAGAAATATCAATTAAATAGAAAAAGGGAGATACCTGGGCTAAGGGATCGTGAAACAGAAATAATCAGTTATACATCTAGCCGATTTTTTGAAAACCAACCGAACGAACTTGTTGCAGTCAAAGGCGTCCAAAGGCATGTTTCTTAAGCCCGAGAAGCTCCAAAATCACAGTAACGAAGAAAAAGGAAAGGAGAAAAAGCAGGAGCGAGGAGAAGGAAAGGAAGAGAACGAAAAAAAAAAGCAATAGTTGCACTCTTAGTTTTTATAATAGCTACTTTGGAGTTAGGTTTTGGCCAAAAAACACTGTCAGACGTAAAAGGTCCACTTGGCGATAACGTTTTCAAAAATCCGGCTAACATATAAGGCAAACAAGAGAGAATGAGCCAGAACCAAGAATAGATCTCAAAGGTGATGTATAGCAGCCGCCCACCATCAGTCGCTATCTTAGCTCATCCTCTCCGTTGGCAAACTCTGCCGGGGGATCGATCGTGTTTGACAGAGGGCAGGTTGGCACACAATAATGAAGTCGATGCAAAAAATGACTGATAAGCCAAAATAAATATATTCTCGGACACCAGGTACATTAGATTACAATTGCTGTAGCTCTAGTCCCAGTATACAGTGGAACCCCGCCTTAAGACCACCCCGTTTATAAGACCACCTCGTTATTACGGCCATGTTCTTTCAAACCAAACGTAAAAACCATTGAGTCATTTTATTATTTTGAGGACCCCGTTAATGGGACCACCTCGTTATTACGACCAGGATTTTATGGCCCAACGGTGGTCGCATAACGGGGTTCCACTGTAGTTACAGGCATTATTTGTTTCTGCCATTTAAAGGAGAAACCATGCCAAGAAAATGCCAGCAACTTGAAACCGAGATCTTGCGTAGACCATCTAAAGAATGGCGCAGACAAGTGCGGTTAGATTTACGATGCTGCAGGGAATGGATTCACTGTGTACTGTGACATGGAAACAGAACCTGGTGCGGCCTGGACACTTATCGTGTCTTGGAGTCTGAAAAACAACCATTTCGCGAATTTTAGGTACTGTTACCAATGGATTAAAACCCTTTGTCGTCCGCCAGAAAAAATTTCGCCGTTTCTGATGGCTCTAATCCCCTGGCTAGTGTTACTTGGAAGACGTTTCATTGATGCTCAAAACATAACACTCGATGACGATCGTTTCGTTTTCGACAAAAAGGGATGCACAGACCTCATGCAAAGAATTGGGGTGGTGAGTCAGCTATTTTGGCAGTGCAGAGCTAGAGAAAATAACGGAAACCTTTTTAAAAAATCGCCTTGTGCGAGGAAAAAATAGCCTAACTACTGCCTCAAAAACGTAGTAAGAAGAGACAAAAATCAACCCACGGATGACAAAACTATGATTTGTTTAATTCTCTTCGCCTTGTAAATTTTGTGCATTCCCTAATTTGATAGCCTGATACACAGCCGTTTTAGTGTCGTTGACGCAACGCTCCGACGAAACTAAAAACGGCTGTGTAGAAGACTACTAATTTGACTAATTATTTTGTTAACACCCAAATTTGGCTGTTTCTTGGTGTTGAGGAAACTATTGTTGGTTATCTATTGCGTTGTGGGTATTATTCATTGTCTTTACAATCTTCTGTATTACGTCATTTGGTGACTGCACCAAGTAATACCCTGTAATACCCCAAAATTTGGATATGAGATGTAACTTTGCTTGAATTTGTTCTCATTGCCGACAGGATAACACCCTTGTCAATCAACAACCCCGTGAATGAAAACTCGCCTAACTGGTTCCTCTACCGGCTAACAAAGGACAGAATGAAGTCACTAAGGGACGTATCCACCCACTGGCGAGCCACCTGCAGTTATGACAAGTACGGTATCAATAACTACAAAGATTACATCCGTGGAAAGTTTGCAGAAGCCGACATCTTTGCCTTTCTTGGTGATGGTGTTTGCTTTAAGACCGAGCTTGTCAACATTCGTGGTCATATTGGAATTCACAAGACTGCCAGGTTCTGGCAGGTTGCTGCTTCTTACACTCTTCATATCGACAGTTCTTTAAAGGGTTGCCAGTTTGATCCCACCGTTGGGGCAGCAAGCAGTGAGGACAACTTTGGTTATTACGGCACTACAAACCCCAAGTTTACTTGTACAATGAATAGCGACTCTACCACGCAGTGGTGGTTCGGTAGCTATCAGTAGTACGCAGACCATCCAGCATAAAAACTCTACATCGTCCCTCTTCGTGTAATAATCTTTGAGTGGATAGTTTTAACGTTGTTAAAGCCAGTGTGTTACTGGTATAAAAAGTATCTAAATATTAGAAGAAATTAGATCTACAATTATAACTAGTTTCCACTGATTATATCACTTATGTCTCATTTTGATAAAAGGGAATAAAAACTCAACCCATCCATGCAAGTGCGTCTGGCAATTTCAATGCAATGGCTAAGAAACGTTGCAAAGAACACCAGATATCATTTGGCATAATGTGAAATATTCCGTTTTTTTTTAAATTCCAATGAGAGGAGTTGCTCAACATTTTGTCTGGGGGCTAAGTCTAAATTCTTGGTACACCTTGTCATTCGCCCCTGGAAATTTTTCTGGTGAAAGAACCGAGACTATTCAAACCGTTGTTTGCAAGTTAAACCAACTTCACCACCTGTTTTTCACAATCTTAAATAATTAAAGCTTTAGAAGTTCAAGCCTGTGCATGGGACCAAATTTCACGATACCTTACGAAAAAAATATTTTTCGCTTTCTCCTAAGACTTTTTTCCTTTAGCTTTCCCTTCTATCTATTTTCGACCTAATCTTCTTTGTTTTAGCTTTTGCTGGACATTTACTACGCTTTAGCTCTCAGTTCGGTGGGAAGATTTTCGCGAACACTCCAAAGGTCAAACGATCTTATCTGGAAGGACGTTTGGGTGGGCAGTGGAATAAGATTTTCACTGAATTTTCTGGTCATCCTTGCATGGAGTTTTGGTTTTTCCGTGGCTTGTTTACCCTCCATAATTTAGGTGCCAACGCGTTTGTCTGTGGTCCGGGATTAGCACCAACGTCTAGTCAAACCAAGTTTAACGAAAATGAAAATCATTAGAAGTAAATTTGCACCGTGTATAGCTAAATCCGTTAAGGCTTTGCTGTGAATGAGGTCATATGTGCGACATATGACCGTTGAAAGTGAGTACTTTTGTTAGTGTGAAAGAAAAGAAAAGAAAAGAAAAATAATTATAATTTACTGTTTCAATGACGCTCAGAACTTTCGAATTGCAATTTAATATTCTTTCTTCTTTTTCGACAAACTTTTCTTTCCGTATTATCAAAAACTAAATCCATGCAAAACTCGTTTAGATTGCCTGTCGTCCAGAAAAACAGAAAGGGTAAAAAAGGAAGCATTTATTTTACCAGCCAGATGCAAGTTTAATCATGACGACGTATTCGGCAACCTCTTCCCCAGGGTCTTCTCGCTTTTCAATGTGGCGGCGGCGTATTGGAAAGCGAGAAGACCCTGGGGGCAAGGTTGCATATTTGGTTGATTTTACTAACAACCCCCTTACTACGCCGTTAAACCGATAAAAATTCTGTTAGTTACTGATGGAACGGTCAAGCAAAACGTTCTTGCTACGAACAGCTTTTTCCCGTTTGCCATCAATAGGGAGATTAAGCATCACGTTTACGGAAAACTCAAGTTCGAAATGAGCAGATAAAAACAGCTTAAAACAATTCTTATGGATAAAATTGGCGTGAATCTACCGATTTTCGTGTAGTTATAATGAACAACGGGGAAACTTGGTCAAGTGGTACAAATTCACCTTCGCCGTAAACGCGATGCTTTATTTCGCCATTGATAACCGCGTTTTAGCATATATCCCGTAGTTAACAACTCCTTAGAACTTCATCCAGCGAGTGAGAGTTCACCTTCTCGACCCCATCAAAAGGTAATCCATGACAGTCTTGGATTCTACATTCCACACCATTTAATCATTTGAATCCTTGTTTCTAGCCTCCCATTCGTAGACGTTCTTAGGAACGAGGAAAACGCGTGACAACCCCTAAGAACGTCTGCGTTTACAGGAACCCCACCCCAAAAAGGCTTTTTCAAACTGTAGTTTGAAAATAACTTAGATTCCGGATTCCACCAGAATAAACAGAGAATGACAACGTTTTTCAAAAAATTCCCAGATTCCGGAATCCGGGTTTACGTTAAATGAGGCGAATCTTCCCAGTTGAATCTGTCATGTAAAATTTCGTTTAAATTTTATTGAGTTTTACACGGAGGTGAAGACCAACTTTACATATTGAAGAAGGCAAACATAAGAAGTGGCAGGAAAAGTTCATGGTAAGGTAATCTTTGCAGTTTGCCGTGAACGTAGAGCTTAACCTCTCTTGTTATAATAAAATACGCTAACACTGTTTTTGGCGAAGCTTGTCTGACGCCCAGTTCAGACGTCGAACCGTGTACCGAACTCAACAGCTACTTGGATCGACCCAAATGATGTAAGTTCGACGGTCGATTTAGACGTTGAATTAAATTCGTCGAACTCAATTCATTCTTACGCTGTAAAAAAATGGTCTACAATGTTTAGCAGTGAAAAGAAATTATCGTCATTTATGCGTTAGCTTCGGCACGTGAAAAGTTCGACGTTTCAGAAACAAGGTCGCTCCACGGTCGAAATTCCCATGTGGGCCACTCGAAATTAATTCATTGGTCGACTCAAATTAGATACTTCGGACTTAAATGAAGGGATTAGGTTTGGTACATGAGAAGTTGGACGTTTGAACTGTGCCTGAGTTCACTGGCATTATAAGCAATGTTTTTTACCAATTGGAACGCACGTAAATACTTCATTTTTTTATACAAAACCTCCGTTATTACACAACAACAAAAATATATCGCGTTGTAAAGGCGAGTTTGAAAATAATAGTTTGTGTACGACATGAGGAAAATTTAATAAGAAATCAAAAAATAACGTTGTGAAGTTATCTTAATATACTTGCTGTATGGTAGAATTCGTACTATGGCGGGAATCCAAACGAGGCTATGTGCAAAACCGTTCTTGTGAAAATGAGCTATATTTGCATGAGAATGCTTCTCATCATTTAGCCTCGCTTTGAAACAGAGGCTTGGGGCAACTCGAAATCGGTCTATTCAGACAAACATCTGTGGTTTATAATTGGTCATTTACAGAAATACATAATTTTACTATTACGACCAGAATCCGTCAGGCTTTTGTTATAGAGAGGATTCTGGTCGTAGTAGAAAAGTAAAGTGACGCCATCGTGCAAATGGCCTATTGCTTCTCTTGCTTTCCGGATGTCCGAGGAAGTCTGGGTCGATACTACGGATAGAAACCAATATCGATACTACTAGGTCTCATGCTGTGGTGGTTCTATGTTACTACTCCGTGATTTTAAAAACCGGCATTAGTTTGGCCATTTAACGAGACCAAGTGTGGGAGTCGATAGTACTGAAAGGTGATCAGCAGCAGTAAATCTACAACCACGCAATTTACTAATGGATACTGCCTCAATTTTAAACGTTTATCTGCGCGTAACTTCTGCTTATTAGCTTTTTCGTTAGAAGTGCTTCATGAGATTGATGAATGAATCGCCTATTGTGCTGTGAAGTGTAGGGTAGTCGTCGCCTATGGTTAAATAAGGTCCGTTACACCATGACACCTCTCGCCCTGTTGCCAAGCAACGGCTGTGTCTGGCTGGAGGTAAGATCGTCCTCCGACGAACTGCTCGGGAGGTTCTCCGAACAAAGATTAGGCGAAGAGTCGTTATCAGCTATACGATCCTCAACCGGGAGCAAAACATTATCAGAGTGATTAATACCTGTAGTTTCACTACTTTCACGTGAACTATCAGCTAACGGATTGTTCACGATGTTTATCAGTCGTTCTTCGCCTGTGCTCGGGCCTCCTTCGGGAACACTCGCTGCGGGACGGCTGACCTCGGAAGCGCCGTCTGTTCCGTTAGCAGCGATATTTCTTTCGTTAGTATCTACAGACTGGCTGTTAGCGTTCGACGCGATTTGATTTCCCCCTTCTTGTCTATTCTCTACAACAGATTCAAAAGATGGCGGTGAGCTTTGCACTTGGCTCATGGCTTCGTCGTAGGACGGCAGAATGAAGTGCACGTCTCCGGTGTATGCAGCAATTATCGCAATTCGGTCGTCGTCGCTATAACGTCGGCTTCTAAACGCCGAGTGTCGGAAACGCCGACTCCGGTGAAAGCGCCGAAAACAAACTAAAGCTGTCAACAACACTACTAAAGCACCGAGAGTGGAACCAGCGGTCGCAACAACAATCGTCATTTTATCCAGTTCATTATCACCAGATTTGATAGAGACTAAATTGTCAGTCGTAGTCGAGCCAGGTGTTCCTGAAATATAAAAATGACGATAGTTGTTAACACAGCGAAAGTCGCGTTAATCCTTTCACGTTCAAAGTGGCTAAATTTTATTTTGTAAAATGCTGAAAAACAAAACCGCGCAGACGTCTCTTATTTTGGAATAAACCATTTCAAGGTGAGATTTGAATTTTTTGATTGCCTAATGGATATAAAGTTCGTTTACAATTAGTATAGGTAATAAGGTGATTTGTAGTGATATTTGGCATAAATACCACAAGTGATATTTCAAAATTGTTATACGTAATTTCACGAGCCGTTAGGTGAGTGAAATTTGAGACAATTTTGAAATATCCCGGGTGGTATTTATGCCAAATATCACGTACAAACCATGCTATTATTTGTTTATACTACTACCCACAAGGGGTTTGTAATTTTCACATGTAGGTATTTCAAATTAAGCTGAAATACCACTGCTCTAAGCCAATCAAATTGCAGAAATTTCTCATGCAGTGGTATAAAGTATAAAATGGAACGCCGATCTGAGTGAGACAAACAAAAACAAAAAAAAGAGTCTACGCTCAAAGTAACCAAAGATTCTTCTTTCATCACCAAGTAAAAGTAATCCTAAAGAGGTTTCATTTGAATGCATGTTCACACCATAAGATACAAAAGATAAAATGGCCACTATAGGAGGTAAAAAATTTGGCCTCCCTGGTCCTCGTGTCCATTTAATATGGTTTCCGCTTATTCGTTTTTCGACTCCCAAATCACCGTCTTAAGCTCAAGCACGACCTTCCAGGGCGGGATACTCCGGAGTAAACGGAGGGATCACCAAATGATTTTTGGGGCTTGAATTTATCCGAACCGGGATTTTCTTGGGTGAGACAATTTGGATTGGCGTAGTACGGCATCAGCGGCATCAGCACGCACGTGCCGCCCGCGTTGTTCTAAACTACAAGATGAGGAAAAGATACGGTGTATGAGTATCTACAAACGTCCAGTTTCCATGTTCTTGTGTGTAATATATTTAAAATTCTGATAGAAAATTTCGAAATTAGGAATTTCAGCAGTTAAAAACCCTAAAGATTTTATTTGAGGGGGAGGGGTGAAGATTTTTGCCCCCTTTTGATCATCTCCAACACTCCCCCGCCGCCTGGGCACAACCTCACAACAAGGGTAAAGTTACTGTACCTACCTTTAACACAGACGGTTCCGCCATTTCCTGGTACGTGACCACCGCTTTCCTCACATTTCTCTCCATATTTAAAAGGTGGGAGACATTGAGTGCTTCCTCCAACACGGCATGAATAATCGGAAAACTGATCGTCACACACCTCCCGCCAGTAGCCTTTTAGGGTACCTGGTATAGCGGTACACCGAAAAGAAGCTGCACCCCAACGAAAATATTCTGGCTCACAAATGAAATCAACGCGGACATTCACTTTATAGGTTAGCTTGACATGTTTGTATTGGCCGTGAGGGATCTTTCTTGGCGATCCGCAAGTTACATACGACTCTGCCAAGAAAAGAATACCATCATCAGGAACATCATCATCATCATGATCATTTTTATCATTGCTTAATATTTGATTTGATAACTTCTTGTACATGTACTGTACCACACAAAAGTAAGTTACCACCCCAAGGTCGGAGAGAACGCGAGCACTGTTGGCTCGGGCAAAGGGGTCATTTTTCGTCATATAGTTGAAAAGTTAGCACTGTTATCTTTAGTGAAGGAGGTTACGTGCTTTCCCGATCGCAAAAATGATAAAAAATCTAACATTTGAAAACTTGTTCGCACCACCAAGACATTCGCGCTAAAACTGGTAGTAGAACGACGGCTATCACGTTTTCCCGCCAAAATGGCGCTGGTTCACGCGCGAGCACAACTTAGTACTGAGAAAATCTCGTACTCTTAGTCGTACTCGTCTTAGAATCTAAAGGTCTTCATTATTGCTTGCCCAGATTGGAGGGTGACTTGACTGGAGCCTTGAGCCATGAGAGGTGGAGGATACTTGCCGAGCAAGAGATGTTACTCGTTCTCAACTAGAGCGAATTTTCGTATGACCTTGAAATGAAAACGCGCGAACGAAACAGAAACAACAACAACAACAACAAAATACGGAATAGAGCGACATGATTGGTTAGTCGAACGGATACAAACGCGTGGCTTTTGGCTGGTTAAGCGAACGCTTGGGTGAAAAAACTTCATGCCCGAGAACTTTCTAGAAATCAATCGATACTTTGCTATGGCGTCATACTGCAACACGATTGGCCAATCGAACAATGCCTTCTCCATATTAGCGTATTTTTTGGCGGGAAAACGAAGAGTCCATGTTTTGATCTTTTCATCCATTGGCTGATAAAACAAATAACGAACACTTACCGAAAACATTTTTCAAGGTCATACAAAAATCGCTCTAACGCACAGGACTTCAAGCGCTGCGACCCTCTCTTGCTACGCGATTCATGTGAACATGTACCAATGACAAAGGCCGAAAAATCCCTTTTTCACTTTTCGCTTCTGTCATAATATCATAAGAGGACATAATAAGACTGATGCAATGAGAATTAGGTATGTTACCTCTGCATACTGGACTTCCTATCCCACTCCACTGGCCGTTTGGACGACACTGCCGAGTCTTGACTCCTATAAGCTGGTATCCACTAATGCAGGAGTAAGTCACAGTTGTCCATATTGGGTGACCATTCGAAGGGGATGTGCTATTAAACGTTCCACGACCATTTGATATGTTGGCAGGGTTTCCACAGGCTGATGGTACTGTTAGAGACGGAAATTTTCAATAGTCAAATCTTCACACGAAAAACAGTTTTCAAAAGATATATGACCTCTCATTCCAACACTGTCTCCTAACGGTTTGCCGTTTTGAAATGTACAGCCGTTTGTATGCCGTTCAACAGCTAGCTGTTCAAACGGAATGGATATCCGTTCGAATCTCTCGAGATATCTGTGCAAAAAGAAAATGTTAACTACAAAACAGGAGCACCCAACGTCGGTTTCCTCCTAAATACATTGAAAACACTTTTTAGGCTATCCAGATTACTTTTAGATCTCGCATTATAAGCGGCGTCACAATTATTTGTATCCGTTCAGTCATCCTAGGGGAACTTGAGTCTTTTCGAAATTACAAGGGTTTCATTATTATTTTCCTGAAAATTTTAAATGAAATTCAACGTTTTACGAATATGAGCATTTTTCTAATTCCTCTCTCCATCACATTCTAAAATTCGAAAATTTTGGGTATCCTCTTGCTAAGAAAATAGCCCAACATGAAGAGTGAATTGTGAAAGACTTAACTTCAGAAAATCGTACGGAATTTGCAAGATAAGCTTCGAACATTATACATAAATGGAACGGTCTTCTAGAAAGTTTTAGCCGTCCTCAACCAACAGAAGATTTTAGGCTATATTTGCTTTTCCGAAGAGATGTTTCACAGAAAACAGTCGTTGGATGCCCTGAAAAAAGTAGTGAGAGAAAAGCTACCTTTCAGGATCATAGACCTCAGTGCTGTCTTAACACTGTAGTTTGAGCCTTCAACCCTAGCCTACAGAACAGGCATTTTCCAGGTCACTAAAAGAACTTTAAACTGTGCAAGGTTTGGACCTAGGAGTCATTTCATAAGTTGGTGGAGCCACAGGGCACCTACACAATCTGCGTGTGTAACAGATTGTTACTTAAAAAGTAAATGTACTGGATTTACCGTTTGCTTCACCTATAGCGATATATCACTAGCTATGTCTATAAATCAATGTTAAATAAACGTTGAATTACCTCACCTTTTGGTATATTGTCGTCCTTTTGCCTTAAAAGCGGTTTTTTGAGCAATTTGGAAGGATTTTAAGTTCGCCGTGTAGTATATCGTTATAGGTGAAGCAAACGGTAAATCTAGTACATTTACTATTTTAAATAACAATCGGTTACACACACGGATTGTGTGGGCACCCTGTGCTGGAGCACGATCGTCCGAGTGAGCGTAGTCCTGAATAGAACTTCTGTTTACAATAACGACAGATTAACCAATGTGCAAGCCAATGTTTCTTCAAGGGAAATCTGTATCAAGCTTCATTTCCTCAAGTACAGTCTCAAATGCCTGCTCCAAATGCAAACAAAAAGTGTATACTCGTGTACAAGCAAGAAGACAAATACTTAATTTGTGACGTCAAACGATTCTCAGATTATCTGGCCGCTTGGCATGATAAAGATCTGCTGTAACAGTCAATAATTGACACACTTCTGTCCGTAACATGACTAATCTTTGGCTCTAAGATTGCGTTCGTGATCCTTGAAAGTTTTCATGGATCACGAACGCAATAGCGCGTTCTTTTTTAAGTTTAAGTTAATCTGTCGTAAAAGTGACCTTGTTTTTTCCGCGATAGAACCCTGTTTCTACCTGCTTTTTATGTTCGTTTATATGGCAAGGACGTACCAGATGCAAAATACAGGTAACTCTCTCTTTCTAACGCAAACTGAGTTACTCAATTAAAGTACATGTATACTTAACAATTATTCCACGAGTGCGTGTTGGATATGAGATGCTAAATAGCCAACGAGGCGCGTAGCGTCGAGTTGGCTACAATCATCTCATATCCAAAAAGCGCGAGTGGACTAATTGTTTTATTAAAAACGCCCACAAAATATCGAGAATTCATTCCGACTTTATTTGTACAAACAGCCCATTTTCAGCTTGTTTTTAATTTTGAGCAGACGTGTACGGTTACCATAATTATTTGGAGAGCATGGTATAATGGTTCATATACCAATAATACCATGATGGCTAAGCCAATCAGAGCTCTAGCATGCCATTATCCAATGATTCAGTTTTTAATAAATGAAACATATACACGTTTCATCTAAAACACAAAGAAATAAATAATGTACTTACCACAACGAGGTTCAATGTTACTCCAATAGCCTGATGGCAAACAAGTCATTGATGAACTTAACACAAGTCTGTAGTACATATCACAGGCAAATTTGACTTTTACATCTTCTGTATAAACAACAGTACTGGGCCGACCAGCCACGTCATAGCTTGGTTGGATTGAACTAATACGACCATGCTTAGGTCCAGAAAGAGATCTGCAGGTTTTAACTGTAAAGGGATCAAATGTGCCAATTAATAAATAAATAATGATACAATGGCTTTTTTACTGTCACTAATAGCCAGCTGTTCTTTACTGAATAAGAACAGTACATTTGACCTGACTACATAGTAGGTGCTCTATTTTTCCAGTACTATTAAGAGGAAGTAACATAATAATTAGCCTGTCCCAGTCCCCTAGATAGTGAGGAAGTTGCACGAAAACCATGTGGAGGCTGGAAAAAGATGGAGTAGTTGAGCCTGTTAGCATTGCTTTCATTACATCATTTTGGTATACCAGTTCCTGGTATACCCTATGATTGGTCAATTGTGACAGTATACTTCAACACTTATGTCAAACATTTGACTTTGCGTGCACAGAATCTAACGAACCTGTACATCTGTACAGCATGACTGTCAAACCCTCCTACACTGCACCTTTTGAAATTGTGACACTTGACATATCGTTGACACAGGAAATGGTTTTTCAGAAATTGGACGAGTAGTGCGTGGATTGAGGTAAATGTACATGTATTTGAAAAGATGTTTACAGGCTCTATCCTTCTCTCTTCCTGCAGTTTCTCACTCACTCACTATTTCACTGCTCACTTGTTTTTTTCACTCATCTGCACTGACCACGAGCCTGGCACAGGCTACACAATATTGTACAGTGTAAGTCATAGCATAATTATACTTTTATAATGATCTTTTTTCACATTATTGTAACCGTAGAATCCCAAAGGGTCAAATGACCTTTCAGAGGCTTTGCAGACCAAAATAAGCATTATTTAGTTCATTATTTTATACAGATTATGCATAAAATTTTGTAGATTTCATTGTATTCAATGTTGATAATATTCATGTCAGTCTACTGTTTTCAAGGCTTAGTGTAGGTGAAGAAAGAGTCACTTTACATGTTTATACTGTTTGGTGTAAGATGTTGGAGGGTCTACATTTTGCTCAAGTGAGCAATAAAATTTGTTATGCACTAATATCTCATTGTGAGTTGATATCAATAATATTACAGTGTATAATGTAAAAAATGCAAGTGAACTGATAATATAAGATAACCAATGTAATACTTATGTTTACAATATTATTATGTATTTACATGAACTCACCACAATTAAGTGTAACGCGTGACCAACCAGTCTGATTACAGGATATGTTATAATTGTCCACGAGGATGGCAGGTATTAAAGGCAGCTTAACCTTGAGGATGAAGGTGGGGTAACAGCGGTATGTAGCAACAGTACTGGAGCCAAGTTCATACAAACTGTAATTTCCATCTCCTAAGCTTTGGGCAGGGGGATTGCCACAAGTTTTTTCTATTTGAAAGAAGCAACAATAAGATTTATTTACAGCTTACTTTTTTTTTTTTTTTCCAAAAGTACAATGTAAGTTGCAAGTTGGTCTTCGTTTTTCAATCATCTAAAGGGTCGTGTGTATACTTAGAAAAATTCTGTCACTTGTGGGATATTTCACGATGTACCACTCAAAAGCATTGCATAACCACTGTAGTATGTGCATACATGTACATGTAAAGTGTAACAGAATACACTGTACATTTACGTCCAATAAGCAAACAATTTCACGCATGTTTTGTCCAATTCTAATAATTTCCCTCACTCAAGATATTATGCAAGTATACCAATAATTTTGATTACCTACCAATATCATGGTTGACAATACCCTCACAGTTGTGGGTTTTTGCCATGTTTGACGTATCAGTCAAGAACTCCACACATTAAAAAGTTGGAGCTTAAATTTTATTTAAAGTTCAAAATTTTTGAAATAATTATTACTTTGACTAAATCCCTTATAGAGTCCTTCTTGATGTGCTTTTTCGTGTGTTTGGGTTTTTTAGAGCATTTTTATCACCAAACCAACCTGGCACAGAGATGTAAATGTTACGCAATAATGCCATAATTATTTTGTAATATCACATACGAATCATAAATCAACACTGAAAAATAATGTCGCAAAATTGCGGAGAAATTTGTCAACCATGATGTTGGTATGCACCTTGACTGGAAATCTAAGAACATACATTGCATGGTTGTTGAGGTACAATTTCCAAGTGATCAGCAAGGTAGACATGCAACTTGAGTGTTGAGAAGTTATGCTATTTAATCACTCTAGCTACAAACATGTATAATTATATGTATTTAAATGCAACTGTAAATCATTTCTCCTTAGCCATGTTTAAATATTATTATTAACAGCTACAAGCTGCCTTCAGAATGTTGGGCTTTTAAAGGAGCTGTGTCACGAAATTCCGCCAAATTAGGAAATTACAAATGCCCATTAAATTAAGAGGAACATAAAAATAACCACTTAAAAACTTAAAGGAAGGAATAACATAACAGAAACAACAGACACCACGGATGGGCAAAACTGAAGAAGATTGAAACGGATTGAAACTAGGGTTTTCGAAAACTGTTCAGCCTAACAGTTTTTCAAAGTTGATCCCTGTTGCTTGCAACTTCAAAAATAATGCTCAGGAGACATAATTATTTGTTTGTCACAAATCTCTGATTTTGTCATTTATTTAGCGTTGATATACTTTGATCAATTTGGACCTATCGATGTGAATTAATTGTGTGGACTGCCTGTAACTACAGTGTACATTTAGCTATACAGTTTATAATCGTTAGATGCCTCTGTATAGACCACTCTAGTCAAGTACAGACTAAAACCTCAACTGAAGAAAATAAATTTTTTTTAAGGTTAGACCCTACATGCTTATCAAAATGCATTATAGGTGGGACAGAACCCCTACTCCTTAAGAGAGTGGTATCGTATGCAGGTGTACAAATGTACAGTCCGTCAACTCTCTCTAAGACTGACACCTCTAGGAATGGCACTAAGACGTACATGTAGTGCCTGGCTTAGAGAGATGTTTGTCTTATAGAGAGGAAAACAAAGGGGTACGAAAGGCAGGGGCCAACTCTGGGTGTCTGTTTTATAGAGTTGTCCTTCTTATAGAGGTGTCTGTGAAAACAGAGAGTCAACTACAGGGTATAAGAGTAAAGAGATGTCCTTCTTAAGTTATCATCCAAGTCAAATTTAGAAGGATTAGAAGCATTTGCATGAAGTCATCAGAGCCAGACATTGCGTAATACATGTACAGATGTATCTTCCGTAACTCCCAATCTTTGTGCTGACATGCTGATTTTTTGAAAATCAGCATTTTTCATCTTGTTTCTTCTGAATAAATAATTTTTATTTTAAAAATTGTACCATTAACTAACCTCATTCTTACTTACTTTTACATGTAAAGCTACCACTCCAAATAAATCCTTGAGTCATAGGGTCTTTGTCACATAGCTTATAAGGTTCAGCTTGTTCAGAAGTATAGCCATCAACACAACGATAATATGCTTTGCCTCCTTTTTTATAACCCACTTGCTTTGTTTTATCTATGTTGGCATGAGGGACGTTTGGCGGTGGAAATGGGCAATCTAAACAATAATGATAGAGAACACAATCAAAGAATTTGAGACATAACTTTGAATGTACGTTGGAATTAACATGAAACTGTACTCTGCAGATATAAAATTCTGTCCAAAGAATTTTACCAGCTGAAAGAGAGACATGGGTAATTTCAAAGGGGCATTTTAGTGAAATAAACTGTACACGCAACTGCTTCACCTATCAAGAATCCTCCTTTCTGCCCTTCCGGTCTTAGGTATTAAGGTACAGTGTGTACTTGTCACACCTACAACAGTACTTTCATTGCTTAGCCCTTTAAGTCCCAATAGTGACCAAGATCAAATTTCTCCAAACAATATCCATACACTGTCAACAGATAAGTTATGAGAATTAATATCACCTAAGTAAAAATGCCTTGATCTTTTAACAAATTGTCTTAACTCAGTCTTTAAGGAAATGTATAGAGATCAGTTTGGAGAATTTGTATGTTGATATTGGGGCTTAAGGGTTAATTGCTTTAGCACTCGCAAACATACACCCATGGCCTCTCATGCCATCCTTTCAAACTTTTTTTGAAGAACCATGAACTAAGAACCACCCAGAATACCTTTCAGGGTTGCTGTGTGCATTTTTTCCAACAATGTTTCTCAAAATAACTGTATATATAAATGACAAGCAGGGTAGATAAAAGAGAGTGACGGGTAGCGGAAGGGTAGGGGAAGTGGATCTCTCCCCTTCCCTCAATTCTTCCTCACAGGTATTGTAAAATAAACTGTACATGTAACAGTTTCTATAATCAAAACTTTTGCTTTCCACCCTTCCTGACTTACAGTAGACATAAAAGGTACAGTGTAGATGTTACAGGTTAAAATCAGTGTTCCAGCCAGAAAATTCTGCTTGAGGGCCAAAGTGGCCTCTACAACCCATTTTTTCGGGCCAGATTTTTCAAGAAAGGGCCAATTCACCAGTATCTTTCTAATATGAAAAGAGAAGAAACAGTTGGAAAGTTAAGGAAATGAAAATAGCAGTTTATTTGTAGCTGACATGGAGCATCCCTTTTTATACACAATAGAGGAAATCTTCGGTAATAAAGTAAACAGTACAATCAGAATGTATGCAATAAAAATAGTAAGTAATTTTTTTCATCTCATTTTCCACTTCACCGTCAAGATCTGCTTAATTTCACTTCTTCTGAACTGCTTCACCTCCATCCACTTTTTCGTTACTTACTGAGAAAAAACTTTCGATAGACCTCAAAGATGCGTTTGTCAGGTTTATCCTTTTTCGGGCAAGAACATCATGCTAGCCTGAGCTCCTAAGGAGCTCCTGCGATATTACACAAGCTAAGTCAAGGCTCAGTGGTCTCCAGACCACTCACTGTAAATCAGGTAAACTCAAGAAGATTCATCGATTGATTTTCATGTTGTGTACAAAGGTATGGAGTCGTTGTTCTTTAGATTAAAAATTCTGTTTAAATTGGAAAATTATTGTAGTTTAAGTAACAGAGACATTTTTAAGCCCACGGAATTAAAGAAGGAACGGGCCATAATGGCTCTTGAATGCTTTTGGTGGCGGCCATCTCTTGATCTTTTGCAGGATTCACACAATGGCACACTCTGGCTGGGACACTGAAAATTAAATTCAGGTTTAAATTTTTTAACCTGGGTCGATTCTCAATTTCTTTTGTCTCCTAACCCTAACAATTCATGAGTTACGGCTAGAAAACAAAGGAAATTGAGAATCAACCTACAGTAGGTTAAAAAATTTTAACATGAATTTAATTTTAACCTGTTACATGGACACTAAAGCACTTGTAAGGATATTAAAGGACTAGTGAGGACATAAAAAGACTAGTACGCATTGAAAAGGACCAGTTGGGACAAAAGGACTATTAAGGACATTAAAGGACTAATAAGGACATAAAAGGACTAGCAAGGATGAAAAAAGACTAGTAAGGACATAAAAGGACGTACATAATGTATGTAAATGACAAGCAGAGTGATAAAAGAGGGGGAAGGGTAGGAAAAAGGGTAGGGGAAGTGGATCTCTCACATTTTCCTCCCAAGTATTTTGCTTATTTATTGGCTTCATTGTGGCGCAAAAGGTTATGCTTACATTTTATTTATCTAATGCATTAAGTTATGCTTCACCTTCATGTCATAATTAGAGCATGCCAGTGACAAGCATCAAAGAGAAAATGAAGTATGACTACTTGCATTCAAGGAAAATCAATTTTTCCATGCAACAGGTCATATTTCACCTTCATGTTATGTAGCATGCTAGAAACAGGGCTTCTGATATTTCGCGCGGTTGCGGACCCGCGAAATTCTGGTATTTCCGCAAAATCCCGCGAAATTCCCAAAAAAACGCGAAATACCGCGAAATCCGCCAGAAATATTTCCAAATACATGTCGGCAAAACATATTTAATTCTTATCTTGGCTATTAAACCCGTTTTATTCACCCCAAACGTTCAAATTTAGCTTGAAACTTCGTCACTGCAACGAGTAAACAACGTCCCAAAACTACCAGGCGTTTTAGATGAACGTTGCGAAAAACTGGGCACTAACCATAATGTTAACATTCGCTCATTTCTCGAGCGAACTGATGTTGAAAGAGCAAATGATTATCCCTCAGTTAACAAAAACGTTCACAAACGCTGGTCATATCGACGCAAAATTGATCGATTTTAGCGAAATTTGCCAAAAAAAACCCCAGCGAAATCGGCTGTTTTTTACTGATTGTTTCTTGGCAAAGTTTCCCCCAGAAATTTCCCGTGAAATCGGCTGATTTTCCTAAGAATTTGCCCCTGAAAATCCTTCGAAATTTGACTTTTTTCCGCTAAAATCCCGCGAAATGGGCCGATTTTTCTGCGAGTTTTGACTTTTCTCCCGCGAAAATCGCCCAAAAGCGGCCGATTGTTCCGCGAATTTTGACTTTTTTCCCGCGAAATCGGCCGATTTTTCCGCGAATTTGCCCCTGAAAATCCCGCTAAATTTTGCTTTTTTTTCCGCGAAATATCAGAAGCCCTGTAGAAACCACAATCACCTCTTTTTAGCAAAATTTCTTTTGAATAGAAAAAAACTGATAAAAATATGACAAGCAATGACTAGAGCGTAAGAGATTCTCCTTGTTCGCAAACTGAATAACACAATACAGTTTTTTTTTACCTGGCCTTCACCACATGACACCTTAGCGTAACAGTTTCTATAGCAACTGTAAACACAAAAATGAAGGAAGTTGTTATTACATACCTCCAGAGAGCCACTTACAAGAAGGCACTTTCCCATTCCAAGAATACTTGTTGTCTTTTACCTCGCATATTATCTTTTTAGCACCAACCAGGGTATAGTTAGGATTGCAGGAAAAAGATATTACAGTTCCCATGGGAAACCCACTGCTTTTCCTTGTAACAATCCCGTTACCATTTTTAGGATGTCCAGGATCAGTGCAATCAGCTGCATTGTAAAAAAAGATAGGAAAAGCTCTTGTAATGATAATAATAATTACAACACTGGGCTAGGTTGTTCACAGCTGGGTTAAGATAACCCAGGGTTGGTGTGAAATTTGAATTCAGATAATATGAAAGCGTCAAATGCAGATTCGATTTGATGACTGGGCGTTCAAGAATAGAGCAAATCATGATCATCCAAGAACATGCTTTTAAACAAAGGAAAGAAAACTTGGATAAAAACTCAACTCTGGGATAGCGCTACTTGGCCTGGGAACTGGACCCTATAGTTATCAGGGCTCAAACAAAACTTGAATTCCAACATGTTTTATAGTGCTTTGGGCAAACAGCTCTTACATTTTTCATAACTACACTTTTAAGCAATTTGCAAATTAACCTGAGAAAAATGTCAGGACTTCAATGGCATTTGAACCCATGGCCTCAATGAAGATACATTAGCTGTGGTCACACTACAGACTTTCACCTACGTAAAAGCGATTTACCTAGGGAAATTCATAAAAAATCTCCCGAGATAAATTCATCTCGGGTTTTGTTTTACTCAGGTGAAAAATTCTAGGAAGGTCACACTACTGATATCAACTCTCAAGGTTTTTACGCCAGTTGAATTTTTTGGAGCGTAAATTTAACCCATTCGCCCCTGAACCGCCTGTAACAGCCTATGCGGATCCACGTCCTTTCTACCCTTTGTGATGTCATCAGTTTTAACGGTCAAGGACAACTTTGTCCGCTAACTTGTGCAGAGTGAAGAGATCTTTCAAACCATACCAGAATGAGCACAATTCAGTCAAGGACACCGCAGAAAGAGGCAAAAAACCATGTAACATTGACCTGAAAATCTTCATGAAAATCTTGTTCCATTGCTCACCTACGTTTCCTTTCACCTAATCTTAAGATCCTAAAAGCTTTCCTAAAACTATTCCTACCAAAATGAAGCCTACTAAATGCCCAGCAAGAGAAAAAAAAATGAGGCAAGAAAAGCGCAAAAAGAGGGGAGGAGAGAAAGCGAAAAGTGAAAGTCACGACTGCTATGTCACTTTTAAACCCAAAAACTATCTCCAAATTTTGCTTTCTGCGCGTGGCCGAACTTTGCAAGCTGATATTTTGCATCTTTATCAGAAGGCCGTGAAGTGTACGACCTGTAAACCAGTTTGTGGTAGCTGTTAGCTCTTAATAGCAAGACAGTGGCCAGAAAACTACTCGAGTACCTTCAAAACGCGTTTTTTTGGCAAAATCTCCAGGAGCGAATGGGTTAAGAAGGCAAGATGCACTGGAATCTAGCTGATCAAAGAGACATTTTTTTCTTTTATCGCACTGTTATTTCTTACACTAACTCAACGTGCAAGGTGAAGAAAGCTGAAGATGTAGACGACTCAAGCCCCCTAAATTTCTTTCACAGTGTGAGCTATGTCTGGTTCTGTCATCAAGACTTTCGCCGATGAACGTCTATTGGCCAGCAACCTTGGTATTTCATTTTTCCCTAGCTATCGTTTTGGGGTAGCTGTCAAGGGAAACTCTTTTGTTCTCGAGACATATCCAAGACCAAGACGATAAAATTTCCCCGGGGTAAGTTACCTGGGGAAAAATCGGCCACACTTTCAGGGTTTGAGCCAGGCCGCGCCATTGCGCCAATCCCGCACTGCAATTGGAATTGTCCCTTTAAAAAATGGCCAAGGGGACAATTTGTCCCCTTCAAAATTTAGGGAAAAAACTCGAAAAGAAGAACACACGAAGAGATTTATTTCGGTACAGAAGTTGCAAGCTGAGACAGAACGTGGAAAATATTTTTTATCGCACCTTTAAAGTTCATTCCAAAGTTACATTTCAGTCACGCTCTACTGCTATTTTTGTCGGAAATCTAAGACAGGGCTTCTGATTTTATCGCGCGGTCGCGGAGCCGCGAAATTCACAAAAACACGAAAAATACCGCGAAATTCAGTAGAAATCTTATCAAATACATGTCTGTACAACATATTTGAAACTTATTTCAGCCATAGGGGCTATTTACTTGCCGTAAACTTGCAAATTTATCTTGGAACTTCGTCACTGAAACGTGCAAACAGATTATGTTGCGAAAAACTGGGCACTAGCCATGATGTTAAAGGCTTTGCCATTGGTTCATTTCTGGAGCGTATTGTTGTTGAAAGAGCAAATGATGACCTCTGTTAGAAAAACGTTAAAAACTCTGGTCTGATCAGCACAAAACCGATCGATTTCTAGCGAAATTTGCCTTGAAAATAACCACAAAATCGGCCGTTTTTTACCGATTGCTTTTCGGTGAAGTTTGCCCCGAAAACTCCCGCGAAATCGGCCGATTTTTCCGCGAATTTGTCCCTAAAAATCCCGCGAAATTTGACTTTTTCGTCCGAGACCTATCAGAAGCCTTGCTAAGAAGGAAGGGTGTACAAATTTCTGTCCCCCTAAAAATGAAAATGTCCCCCAAAATTTTAGCCAAGGGGACAAATTGTCCCCCAGTGATCAAATCCTAGCTCAAACCCTGACTTTAAAAATCAAGTTTCCTTAGGTAAACTGTCAACAAGTCGAATTTACTTAGGTAAAAAGTCTGTAGTGTGACCACAGCTAATATATCATGATCGTTGCAGTGGTAATTGCAATAGCTTAAATTGCAATTACCACTGCAACGACCATAATCACAAGTTGAGTACTCTTAACAGTCAAGACACTGAGAGATAACAACTACTGCACTTAACAATTGTTGAGGTTCTCAAATTGAGAAACAAAGCTCGCTGGTCTGTACAATGTACAAGTAGTAATGCTAAGGAACATTGTCCTGTTTTGTCACAAAGTCTAACATGTACACATTTATCTAAACATCGCCGTATATAAAGTTAACTTCTAGAAGCAGGAAGACATTTTCCCAAAGAAAAATTTTGTGCAAAGTGGTTTAAAAAACCTCGTAGAAAACGAGAAGGTGGGTACAAATGTGTTTCTTACTGTTCGTAAATAATGTTACCATATCATTTTGTCGACCACAGAAACAATAAACTATGGTCGACTATGTATGAGATGGGTTTATCGGCCTTTTTACTAACCTGATACATTGGGGATCGTACCAGCCATAAGCATCGTGGTCAAAGTGGCAACAATACACACAGCGTTTGCCTCCAAACGATCCATAATTCACAGACTAAGTAGTTATCAATGTAAGGTCTTTTGAAAGTGCAATGTTCAGAATAAAGGCTTCAGCTGTTGATAAATCAAGTTATGTAAACGCTTTTACCACAATTTCTAGCACGCCTACGTCTAGTCACGATCTCGAAGATCAGAATGGAATTTGCCTTTTATCCTTGATGTTATTACCGTATGGAATACTCACAAAATATCAAGAAGACTTACGTACTCGAGCAAAACTGAAAAAGCTTCGGGAAATCCGAATATTACGCCTCAGTATTGCTTTCTTTCCCCCTCTAGAACAGGAGCATTCTCCGACGCCATTTCCGCCATCGAAGTGAAAGTTGTTCGCGACGGTCGAAACTGAACTAATCGATATTTCGTCGGAATGATTGCATAATCGATATTTTTTCGATGCTGCGCATCGATATTTTACAGTTTACAAGTGTGACCTGGTGGGTTACACAAAGGCAAATAAAAAATGGATAATAAATGTATGAATAGATAAAAATAACATCTTTTGTCCTTTTTCTGGTCCACTTTCCCTGACCAATTTAGAGGCCCTACCAGGGTAAATTCCGACAAGCGACATGACCCGAAAAGTAGCGACATTCGCGACAAGAGACAACTTCTCTTGGCCAAATTGCCACAATGACGGCAAAGCCGAGAATAAGCGACCAAGAAAGTTGGTTTGGCTAATTTATCACCAGTCTGAATGCCGAGAAGAAGTAATTTTCGTCAGTTTTCCTTGCGCTTCAGAGAACGTCCCTTGTCAGTGAGCTTCGGAGGACCCTCCGGAGCGCGCGTCGCGATCCGACAACGGCGACGTCCATGAAAACGTTGTTGAAAAATAGACTTCGCATCCTTTTAAACTTTTTCTCGATTATCCCAATTCGCCCTGTTACTTAAAAGAAGGGAATTTTGGTTCGAGCTGAAGAGAGGGGACCGTGCTGAGCTCAGACAGAGATACTTGAATTTATCGCTTGCCGTTCCGTTCTCAAGTAAATTTAAAATTTGGTCAGTTCAAGTAGTAGTTGTGCAGGGACAGCAAAGAAATGTACAAAAAAGCGTGATGTATCTGCAGAGTTGTTGTTTTGCTCATTAAACTTATTGCTTTTTTGACGTGCTCCTCGCCGTTGCCGTGGTAGTTTCGTAAGGTCCCTATTTACGCAACCCCGCACAACTCCTGGGAGACCTGGGAACGAGGTTGTCCATCAAATAGCTTAATTTTATGCACGCTTTGCTTTTCTTGCCCCTAAACTTCTGACATCCTTGTCAGGAAGACCGTGAGAATACCACTACGTCTTGATTTGTAAGGTGGAGGGGTAAATGTTATGAGCGAAGTGGCTAATTAGACCGGCGCTTTCCTCCATTCGAAGATACTACATCTCCATGAACGGGATGTAAGAATATCGCAAGGCTTTCAATCTCCGGCGAGCATTATGATCGTCGAACCACTCTACATTTGGGTGAAGAGAGACAATGTGATCCAGACTTAAGTTTCTTGTTTAATGTAAGCAACACGACGGTGACGACGGTGGAGAGACCAGGGAACAGGTCACCTAACCACCGACCTTCCAACCGCTCTCACGGGGTAGGGCACCGTGCCTTCACGATTTAATCAGGTCAGTTAGTCTTAAAATGTTAAACGTGGATCACTTAATTGTGAATGGCGATGTATAGGTGTTCGATACGCGAAATGTTAACTGAGAAATTTCAGAACTGTAAGACTACTGTAATGGTTTCTGTACAACGCATCGCTATTACCCTTTTCTAAAATTCAGACAAAGACAAAGAATTTTCGGACCCCCCCCCCCCCCCCTCCCCCGGGCAGGGCCTCAGTTTAGGGCGGGGTTGTTCAAAGCTGGGCTAAGTTATCGCCACTTTAAGATAACCTAGGGTGCTTTAATTCAGCCGTTTAAAAGCTGAAAAATCAAATTCAGTTTAATTCTGTGAGTCTGAAATTTGGTGATTGGATGCCCTAAAAAGAATAGAGAAAATTATCCGAGAAAATGGTTTTAAACAGAAGAAAAAGAACCCATCCCGGATTAAAATTCATCCCTGGGATATTTGAACTCGACGAATTCGAACTGGGCCTGGCCCCGGTTGTTCAAACGTTAAATAGCACTATCCAGCGGATAAAATGGTAAAAGAAAACAATTGCGTTACCCACTGGACAAAGATTTATCCAGCTTTTGAACAACTGGGGAGCCTGGTGAATAAATTCTAACATTAACGTCATGGATGACGTCACTCATGACAACACCGTAGCAGCTTAGCTGTTTGAGAAGGTTTGAAATATAAAAATGGCGAAAGAGTTTACAGCTATGATTAGACGGAAAGATAAATTTGTTTATACTTACAGATGTCATATAAAGAGCAAAGTGAGATGAGTGATGTCATCATATGTGGTGCGGCGGGAATCGGATCACTGACGGTCCCACACGCGTACTGTTCATAGGTTATTACCAAGTAAACCAAGTTGACCAGTCGTCCATCGAAAATGGCTTCACTTTTGTTATTGCCACTTTTTGTGCGCTATCATTACTTTTCATCACTCACCTTCATGTCTAACACGCATGCTCGTAAACGTCTATGACCTACAGTTGACTCCCGATAATTCGAACCTTCAAGGGAGATAGAAAAAAGTTCGAGTTATCAAGGGTAAAATTATAAAGACAATGATCTGAATGGAAATGAAAATTGCTTCGCCGGTTAGCGGAATGTTCGAGCCGGGAGTCGCCTGTGTCACTTAGCTCGGCCCATTCCACCATTCCAGCCGTTCAGATAGTGGCGGACGCCACAAAGAGAATCCAAGCGCCTGCTACGAGGGCTACAAAGAGAGGTGAGGAGGAAAAACAGCGAGGCTGGTAAGGGGGTGAGAGCGATGGTTCTCTCCTTTCTCCCAACTTTTGTTTTTCCCGCCTATCCAAACGCTTGGAGTGGAACAGGCCCTGTACCGCCACCGAAATGATCCCCACCATCGAAATGATCCCCGCCACCGAAATGATCCCCAATCACCACCGAAATGATCCCCACCACCGAAATGATACCGGCGGTCACCACCAAAATGATCCCCGGAATATCGGGAGTGGAATTAAGAGGACTACAAAAACTGGACAACAATTTAGTGCGTGCTTTTTATTTATTTATATTGCATCTTTTTTACGGTATGTAATTTACCTTTTACCGCACTTTATTTTACAGTAAATTGTTTTGTTTTGTTTTTTTTTTTTTGGTTTAACACTAGACAATAATTGTTCAAAAGATGCAATTCACTTATGTCTTCTATTTCTTCGAATTTTTTTTTAAATTTTTGCAAGAAAATCTTCTTAATAAAATTGTGTTAAAGCAAAATAAGTCAAATCTTGCAATCAGGATATGTCTTCCTGATGATGTCATGACGACAGTGATGACGTCAGTTACAGGCTCACATTACAACACGTGCTTTCCAATTAGTTTCGGTACTTCCACTAGCTGCTGTGGCTGTCATCTCAAATCATTAAAATCATGAAAATTATTCTGTTATTGACAATTATTTTTCTGCTCCTGGCTGCCTTTGCTATCATAACAAGTGGATCAGGAGAAGAAGAGCAAAAAGAGGTATGTTTTTTTACGCTTTTCATTGATACATTGTTCGGCATGACTTTGCACGTGTTGTCATCTTATGTGTGCAAAGATCGTCTTTGGCGTACGAAATGATCTTACGCAGTCTAGATTTATTACTTAGAAAAAATTGTGAATGGAAAAACTTCTCTGAGATTATCCTGCATAAATATTATAAGCGAATCAGACGAGTTTGTTAAGCAAACTCAAATTGCCGAATGTTGTGCAAAGTGCCAGGTTTGATCGATCTGTCACATTGGTTTTCGATATGAAAAGCAAATTGGTGTCCAATCAAGAGAAGTAGTTTAGCGATAGAATTAAGAGAGCAAACTAACATAACAAATTCAAAGGTGTGTGGTGTGATTATCCTAACGGTTTTGACATCAATGAGATTTATAGAGAACTGTGCGATTATTTTTGCTATATTTTCCTCGCAAAAAGTTTATTCTTGATAAGTAGACTGTATTGTTATAATTTAACTGTAATCCTTTACAGAAGAAAAACATCGCTAAGACGAAATCTCCCCCGTTGGTGACTAAGGGTCCGTTGTCCGATGATGTATACGACAAGCTATTAGACGTTCTACGAAAGCCCGATTTGTTATCTGACTGGCCCAAAAGTAAAGACTCGAAATTACGCCAAAAAGTGTACAAAAGGTTTAGAAGTGGGAGGTACGAAATAAAGCAGGTTCAAGATCCTGCAGATGGAAAAGGGAAGGAAAAAATTGTTGAAAGTTCAACAGGAAAAGTCATTCTCAAGAAATCAGAGGTTGAGAGCTTGGTGAGGAGTTACTACAAATCAACAAAAGGAGAAGGCGCACGAAAGCTTAAAAAGAACATGGAAAACATTTATTCAGGAACAGGAGAAAAACCCATTCATAACGTCTTAAATAGAATGAAGGAACAGCAGCAATTAAGACCCACGTTCAGAAACAAGGCTCCACTGAAACCAATCACTGCTAAAACTGTGCAAGAACGAAATCAAATTGATTTGGTAAACATGAGTAGCATAGCCATCACAATAGAAGATAAAACCTATAAATACATTCTGTCTGTGATTGACATATTCAGT